GGTACCGCCTAGTCTGTGCTTTGAATACCGCAAGAGTTGGCTGTATTGCCAGACACGATTATCATCGAAGAAGACAAGAGAGGATGGACGACTTATGAACTGGGTGAGGCCCGGCACCGTGGATGAAGGTGAACATAAGACCATTCCTAGATCCCGTACATCCATAATGAGTCTTCAGGGCGGTTAGGCACAGATACCGCTTCACCTAGGAAAAGCTGTATAATTTTTCAATGTAGTCATCGCCTTATGCGATAAAAGAGAGCGAGTTCCACTGGGGAAGATGATTCAGTAAACTTGTGAAACTACTTGTTAGTTGCGAGCATATCATTAATAACGAAACCATGATTAGCAGATTCGCTGCGAAGTAACTATGCGATTTGGATCCTGCGCCGCGACGCTTGTCCAGAACGGGCTTGACCACAACGCCCTCGAAGAACACCTGGAACCAGGGCGGGGGTTTGATAGGAAATAGGACCGTTGGAAGGGATAGTGTTTCATGCGTAGGGGATATAGTTGAAGTCGGATATTGAGCAGGCGTGCTTCATCGGCCTGTTCGTCGAGAAAGGCAGAAAATGAGGGGTTGTAGGAGACAGTTGCTTGCTGATACAAGCCCATCGAAGGTTATTATGTGATTTCAGTAGCACACAAATTGAACATTGCGCAATTGCAGGTCTGGCAACAACATAGGTTCGTATTGCGTTTATGTCACAAGTGTGCGATTGGAATGCATGTATTTGTATGTGATACCTTAGATTGCCCGAAAAGTCAGCATATCCATCAGCATTAAGAAACAAATCGCTTGCACCCGCGGGGTCAAAGCTTTGCGGCGGCGCGGGGCACAGCGGGCGGGAGAGGGACATATCCGATGATGGACAGGTGCTGCTGGTGGATAGCCTGGAGTTCGATGGTAGTGTGTCCCGCCCGCCGTGCCCCCGATCGTTGCCAGGACGACTTTTGCACTCGACTTTTTGCGCAACGAAAGAGATTGGCTGGGCGCATAGGGTGGACGGCCAGTTACCGTAGTGACTGACACTTGACGGATAGGACGATGGAGGGTCCTCCTCGGGAGAGGACGGTAGACAAACGGGTAGGGTCCACAAGAGGGCAGAAATTGCGCACATGGACGGGACGAAGGGTGGGAGAGGGGATCAGAGGCAAGTCATGACAAATGCCCACCTCTCTCTCTCTCTGTCTCTGCAAGTCTCCAGTCCCATAGATGACTCCGCAGGACGTCGGGGTCCAGAAGCCTTTCCTCGAAACAGGATGGTGGACTCTTTCTTCTCACGAATCGGACGTGGACCACGTTTCGGAGTACGGATGCGGATACATACACGACACTACATTTCTGTCGGTGGGAAGTTCAAGGAAAAAGTCGACGAGTGACGTTGGAAAAGGCGGGTACGTAGCCAGCAGGGACCCGCCTTTTGGGAACCGGCGCACTGTGTCGAGTGAAACGGCTTGAGAACATTCGGCCAATGGCGTGAGCCATGCTTCACCGAGAGCTCGTTGATTTGCCAATGGGTCCTGCAAGCAATTAAACGCGACCCCGCTAATGGAGACGTGTCAGACGCGTCAAACGCGTGCGGCTCGCGACGACGCGCCGACCGCATCGCAAAGTTTCGCAGCGGGCACCGCCCACCTTCTCTCGACGAGGACGTTTTTTTTTTCACTTTCTTTACTCAACGTCGTTTTGTGGCGCAATGCCCTACTGATTGGGCGGCAATCGCGGGATTTCCATATCTTTTCTCGGTGTGGTCATTTCTTCACCGCTCACCTGTTCTTCCTGCAAGTGCTGAAGCCGGCTGATGCTAGGCTCGACGGTCCGGTCAATCTTTGACAATTCTGGGTCTGGCGTTGCCTGTCTACTTGGGCCAAGGAAAGCCATCGAGAGGGTTTTTCCGCTGGGGTTTTGCAATTTCGCTTTTTGACAGTCGTTGAGAGCGAGGGGGAGAGGAAACTGAGAGAGTGCCCTTGTCGCAGTCGCGAAAGTTGGAAGAGGCGGGGCATGATGGAGCGGATTTACCCACGTTTCTGATGCAAGCCATTAAAGACAGCCCCTCTTTGTGCCTAGGGCGCCTGGCATGCAGAGCTCGACGGGATGTCGAACCCCTCGAGGTGGTCCGCCGCTCTCCGTCACAACTTGAGGTTGAAAGCCACCACCACTAAGAATACCACCACCACACCGCCATCTCACGCGCTCATGAACAACCCCGTGGCTACCCTGAGGGTGGTCTCGCATCACAGAGAAGGGGGGTCATGAGATCGTTGAACGGTAACACGAGAGGCGGGCGTTTCGGGAGCAATGAACCGGCTTCCATGGCCAGGAGCACCCTCGAGTCATGCGTCATCTCGTCCACAACTTCCAAAGGATGGTTCAGGCATAGTATGTGTGACTGAGTAGTTGGTCGTATAGCACGGTAAGTACGGAGTACTCTGTACAGAGTACCATGCGACGCAGAACAAGCTTCAGGAGGAATCCGGTAGGCCTCTCAAGATTTGAATACGGCCTTCGAGGCCAAGAGAAGGTGGTATCCCGAACCAGAGAGATATGATGTAGTAGGGGCCCGATCGGAACATGTCGCCAGAACCGTCCCGTATGGCCCCCAGGGATCGCTCGAATCAAGGCCTAGAGACTATGACGGCAGCTGGCCGAAGCGCAGACGGAACGTGCTGCAGCACCAAGCCCAGATCCCTTTGTGCAATCCCAGCAGTCTCTCGATGGAAGTGGCACATAGTGAATGGTGAGTGGCGCAGCATTGGGAGCACTTTTTCTCTCCACAGACTGGCTGGGGGAGCACGAGCGTAAAGACCATATGTAACCGCCAATGATCATCATCTATAGTCCTTTGCTTTCGGCTCATCTAGCAGACGAAACTTTGAAGCAATCGCAGCAACTGTGGATAAACGTGAGTGCATAGAGAGACCGAAGTGCTGTAGACAATCTTGTAGGGCCGAACTGACTGCAAGTCTGTCGTTGGAAACAATAAACGCCTCGAAAGTCGAAGAGTGTGGAAGCCCTGACTCGAGCTAGGCTCAACAGAGAGTGCTATGTTGGTTGGCCGTCCGTGTGTCCCATTGTGTGGGAGTTTGACAGAAGGGAGGGCGCGAGCCGCGGCTCCTTAGCGATAAAGTCTGAGCGAACGCAGTAAGCCAAAAGGGGAAGTGTAGATTTTCTCTACATTCTTACGCTTTCCAATAGAACGGGGATACCAAGCTGAGGTGGATGTATGTCATGAGCCTCGTGAGGCAAGGTAGAAGGCATGTCCCGTGGGAGAGTATGTCTCGCATGTCTTGCAGCTCTCTTCTCGGCCGCAGAAGCCCAGGGAGATGGATGCTGTCCGATCGTTCATGGGCTCAAAGGTTATTGATTGGGCAAAGGGGGAGATGGGGACGAGATGAGGCAGAGACAGTAAAGATGAATGGTCTTGTGCCTTAGTCTTGCGACCACCTTGCATGAACAGGAGGAGAGACAGAAGAGACGGAGAAAGGGTAAGGTTGACGAGACAAATAGGAAGAAGCAAGGAGCAACAAAAGAGCCGGCGGTATTGCCTTTGATCGGAGGCGGGTGTGAGTGTGACAAGAGATCAGAGTCACAAGAAAACGAAAAGGGCCAAGAAGGGGGAGGGGGATCGATGGTGAGTTTCTCTGCTATTGCAAGTTGACCCTTGCAGATGAGCGAGGGGCGAGGGATGAGGGTGTAGGGTGCAGACCCGAAGGTGAGAGGGAAGCTACTGCAGGTTGGTGAGGGACAGGAGAAAGAGGTGTGGGAGGGAGGGTGATGGTGGAAAGGGAAGAAGCAACGCCGCCGTCCCAGACTCGAGGTACCGCCCGAGGCGGTTGAGACACAAAATGGGCCCTACGAGACAGTTTTCCATGGGAGAAGTCGCGATGGCGTACCCATTCGCGTGGCCTGTCCAGCCATTCGTTCATGAAGGCTACCTCGACCGTACCACGAGTCCTGATGGTGCGTACGTAGTAAGTCATATTGGACTGCAGACTGTTTCGGGTGCTTCCATCATCACCATGGCCATCACCATCACCATCACTCGCATGCCTCGTGTCTTTTAGGGCTTTGACTGATGTAATGTACAGACACCATGGATTGCTTACCTCATGTCAGAACCTGAGGCAGGTAAGGTCAGGTAGCCAAGGCATTGTATGACATACCCAGGTACGGAGTACATTGACCTTGGACAGAGGCTTGAGAGGAAAGAAAGAACGACGTAACGGAAGGGTCGGTCTGAATGAAAGCTCAGACCCTCTTGCCTCGCACTTCCATTAAAATCCCTGGCAAAAGCAATGGATACGTACCGCGACGTTCCTCGAGTGCTTCAGTCTCCAGACAGTGAAAGAGCTCGCATGGGGACACGGCCCAAAGTACTTGCAGCAGCATGCAGCTTGCGCGCCCACCCCCAGGGCCCCAGAGCCCCAGTCAGTGGACGGACCCTTGTCAGATGCTCCACTCTTGACTCCAGCGCACTAACAAAGCCCATTTTCGCCCTTGCCAGACACAAGGTACCAAGTCCTTCCCCCCCCATGAGAGCCTTTCAGTCCTTCGCCATCCCATCTGCCACCTGCCACTCTGCCGCCATCCAGGTCCCAGCCAACCTACCTTTACCTACCTACCCAACTACCTTACTTACACTTACTTCCCTTCCCTCCCGTCTCCCGCCCGAACTTCCTCACCGACACACCACAACACTCGCACACATTATTGCTTCACCCGCATTCCTCCCTCTCATTGCAGAAAACAAGACGACCCTGTGATTCAATATTGAAACACTTATCACTCTAATATCCTCGCCCTTAAGACCCCTTCGTCCGCCCCCTACAGTCCACCGGCGCATTCCAAGCCTCCTCGCTTTCTATCCCGTCGCATACTCGCGCACAGTCGCAAAAGTCTTTCCGTCGCATACCAAACCACCTTGCCAGCTCGTCATCGCATCGCGCGACACTTGATAGCGATAACCCACGACTGCATACCGATCAAATCCCTCAAGATGCTTATGCCATCCGCCTTCTCATGCGACACGTCGCAGCCGCCTCTTACCCGACTCCAGGCGTCTCTCTTCGCATCGCCTCCCTCGAGCCCTCCTACCCTGTCAACTAGTAGTGGCTTCGGTCACATCTTGGACAGCTGCCGCTCTCTCCAAGCCCTTCTCTCATCGCCTCAGCATCAGAACATTCCCAGTGCCGCTCTCTCATACGACGCGCCACAACAATACCTTCCCACGCCATCTCAACTTCCCACGCCGCCTCTCGCCCACGCGCCTGCTCCCCACAAACTGCGCCTGCGCTCGCGCGCAAAGCAGGATGGCGCCACTAACAGCGATCACCTTCCGCGCAAGCGCATCGCAAAGCGCGCGCCGCCACGAGGTCTGAACAAGCGCCGGCGCGCCGCCGATGAGGAGACGGGTCGTGAAGATGGTCTTCTTACGGACGAGGACGTCGAGAGCGATCTCGACATCTCATCTCAGCGTCAATCTTTCGAAGCTACCAACGACAACCCTATTCCATCCAACCCTTCTACACCCAAACGCGCGCGCATCGCACCAGAGGTGATCCCTCTGGGCCTTGAGCGCTCCGACTACCACACACTGCACCTCCTCAACGGCGACGGTGTGAACATGAACCACAGCAGCATGGAAGCGGCAGGCGCACAAGACCCAACCGTGGAGGTCGAGGCCGATGGAGAGCGGTGGAGTGCCGAGGATGATAGGATACTCGTCGAGCTTGTGCTGGAGAAGCTGAAGCTCTCCAAGACGGAGTGGCAAGATTGCGCGCGCAGTTTGGGCAAGGACCGGAACTGCCTATCCCGGCGATGGAAGAGTCTCATGGTCCAGGGTGACGTCGGCCTCAAGGGACCTCGGAGGAGTAGCCGCAGGGCCAACCTTCACGGTACCTGGCGGTAATGTACCCTGACCTTGGCGTCATTGTCGACAGTCTGGGAATTTACCATTTTATTTGTCTTGGGGTTCGAATGTGGCGTTTTTACAAGTACCAAACGGTCAGAGCCCGGAAACGGCTTTTGTGGAACATTTTAGGAGCGGTTGTTCAGCGCCTCATCTCGCGCTTAGTTGATCTCGAGCTTGGAACTAGCTTTTGAGTTGGGACATGTTGGTTTCTTTGTTTTCTCTTCTCACGCGTGCTGCGTCACCCGAGAGCGAGCATACCTTATCTACCAGAATAGGTCATTGGAATCTCATTGCGCGAGATATCCTGTCACCTTATGTGCCTTATTACAGAGAGGCCGAAATACAAAAAACTCGGATACACTCAAAAACCTCTTAGGTGCTTTGCATTCTTGTGACTTGGATCTGCTCCGGTCGAGATTGACGCCTCTGTTCCATGATCGGGAATGAGCTCGCCATACGGAGTATCTCTGATTGATATCATCGACACAATACTGCGGTATGATACATGCGGCCGTGACGTTTAGAGACCGCGTGCGTATGTCTGTCACGTACGTGGACGTGTTCAACATTACCAACCTTACGACTCACTACACTAGCTACCCGTCTGTCTTGTCGCAACTGGAACTGTCAAAGGAGCCGTCACGTCAAGCCCCCCCCCCCCCCCGCGCGCCGTTGACTTGTAGCCGCTCAGACGTCGCCCAGCCTTGTCAGCTTTCTCTGTGCCATGCTATCCGTGGCTAAATTGTTACTAGACTCTCTCTGTCCACGCGACAAGTCCGGTAGATTGATCGCCAGTCGCGCGCAATGCGCTGTTGCGCAGCTTGCTTCCTGTATTTTTCCTCCCCCGGTTCCCCCGCCCCCCCTCCATCCGCCCCAGCCTCGCCGTCCCTTTTCTGGACTATTACGGACTACTATCGCAGGTACGGATGGGGGATACCAGATTGCGATAGTTGTTTTTGGTAGCGCGGGTGGATCTTCCCGGCCCAGTGTCGTGATCGCTGGTCCAAGGTAAAGGTAAGGTACGGAGGAATGGTGGCAGGAGGGTGGCTGGTCTTGCGTGTTGGGCCTAGTGCTTTTCCCCCGCCATTCCCATGTTACAGCGCCTGATACGGCGCCCGTCATCTTTCTCTCTCTCTCACTTGGTTTTCGCTTCTCCAGGCACAGAAACGTTACCTCGATCATCGCTCGCGTACAATACAAACAGCCCAATGCAAATCATACCGGCAAACTTTCTCGCTCTCCCCTACTGAGACAAGAAAACCGAGCACCCTACCTCCTGGACAAACAGCAAGTAACAGCGTGGAAGCAGTACTCCGTCAGGCGGCGATCGCAGGACGGGACGCAAGGGGTGGCTGGTGTTATCGATAGTACGCCGCATCCCTCCCGCCGTACCTGAATATGGATATCTCGCCCTGTCCGGGGGTGCGGCCTGTACTCGGTAGGGCCAGGCCAAACCAACCACCGCAGTTCCCAACCTTTTGAAACGAGCCCGGATGAACTCTTTTCGCCCAGGGCAAGGGGAAACGAACGGGGTGTGGGACGGGAATCGGGGCGGGAAGGGTAGGGACTGGATAGTGCGAACCCTTTTTTCCCTTGCCCATCCGCGCCAGCTGAACCTATCGGCTTGACGATGTGCCTGAATCGGCCGCGGGGTCGGGTCCCCCCTCCCCCCCTCCCAAGGGCCTGGACGGCTGGCCTGGGGGGGCAGGCAGATACCCTGTCCTGTCTATTCAATTCTCTTCGGCGGGCTGTTACCTGAGCTCAGCTGTATGGATGGACTTGGATGGAGGCTGAGTTACTCGAGTGGCAAGTATGGTCAAAGAGCGACATCGGGATATTGGGCGAGTGAATGAGAGAATGAGCGAGCAATTCACTGAATCAAAGTCCGATTGATGAAGCGTAGAAAGCAGTACTCCGTATACGGATAACACCTGTGAAGCGTGTAAGTCGAATTCGACCATCGACGCAACTCACGACTTCTCTCGATGCCACAAAACCTCGGCAGTCCCGTAAGATACGCGAAAAGCACGCGTCATGATAACCAAAGATACCACACTCTCCATCATTGTCTCAAGTCTTCAAATCGCACAAACAGTTTTCTTCTTTATCGGTCGCATCCCATCATATCTCATCTCACACCCCTTCAGGCACGATCTAGCTTAACCTTGGATCTTCTGCCCACTCACCCAGCAAGCCCTACTCTATCTACCATAGTATGACTACGCAAAAGAAGAAGAAGAAGAAGAAAAAACCCTCGAGATGCAGAGCGTAGGAGCACATCACGGTACAGCATCGAAACGTGAAATGCAAGCAAGGCGAGCGGGATTTTGTTCCAACAGATTTAGGCATAAGCATCACGCATGCATGTCTCGCGAATCTGGGGTGAGGTAACGTAAATCCATCACCGCGTCCTGGGAAACGCCAATCAACCAAAGAAAAACCACAACATCGAAAGAAAAGAAACGACTTTTCGGCGACGAAGCCGACGCCGCCGCCGCATAAGCACGAATCCCACCCCCCTTCCCCCCACCACCTTATAGAGAAGCATGATTTTGATCGATACTGTGCAAGATACCTCAATGTCTCGCCGGCCATCGCGCCGTCTCCGATCCAAGGGATGACTGAAACCTCCCCCCCCCCCCCCCCCCCCCCCCCCCCCCCCCCCCCCCCCCCCCCCCCCCCCCCCCCCCCCCCTTCCCTCTCCACACCAACCAAAAAAAAACAACCCCACCCTTCTTTGCGTGTGGTTTTTTCGGTTTGCGTTCTCTCTTCCTGCCCCTCTCTCCCCCCCCCCCCCCCCCCCCTTCCACACTCCCCATCTCTTCGCCTACACGCTACCGCTAATTCGCTTCAAGTCAGGAACCAACAGGAACCAACAGCACCTACCTTTTTACGGGAGTGAGTTTCGTGTGCCTGGCATATACATCTTTCCTCCCTGCGTCTCGTCGATCAGTTACTCCCCCTTCCCGACCCATCGTCGCGGTTTGCCCTGGTCTATACTGCCTTAGCCTGGTATCATCTTTCGACCGAGGCTCTCCAAGGGGGCAAGGGGGGGACGCGATGTCCGCGTGATGCTCGCGTGACGGGGGTGATCTCCATCTGTATAGTCACTCTGTATAGCCAGTCTACTGAAGTTTTTCAGCAGCCATCGTCAAGGAGGTCAGGAGGAAAATCGAGGTCGACAATACCCTTGGATCCTCCTCCCCACACCGTCACGACCTTCTATCGATTCTACGTCCATCAGGATGTTTCACGCTATCGAAGATTGGGTACTCCTTATTGAATGAACCACGCAGAGACCAACACTTGCGTCTCGCGTTTGAATTCCAAGGGGGGCTTTGGATCTCGCAAGCTATGGGATAAGGTAAACGAACGATTGTTCCCCCAAAAACCACCAAGCCGTGCTCTACATCCTCCTCTAGAGGCCGTGACAACTGCTACGCAATGCTGAGCCATCCTGTTTTTTGTCGTCAAGTCGTCATAGCAAGTTCGACGCTCTGACCGCGTGCAAATTCACAATTCGAGGTTGCTGTGAGACGTCTAATCCTCGTAAACCTCCTCATACGTCTCCTCGTACTCTTCTCTGGCCTCCTCGAGGCGCTCGTGATCGCTACTGCTGGCATCAGAGTCCGCAGCGGCGGCGAGAGCCTCCTCATACTCCTCTCTGGCCTCCTGGACCTCCTCACGATCACTGGAAGAGACGGAGGAGCCATCCGCATCAGTAGGAGGGAGCACGGCAGGAGGCTGGTTGTAGGGGTCGTTGTAGGAATCCTGGTAGCCTCCGTACTGAGGCTGAGCTGCGGGGGCAGCGGCGTGCTTGTGCTCATCATCAGAGTCGTCTGCGTCGTGAATGTTAGTGATTTGATCTTAAACAAGAGCAAAGAGCAAGTGACACATTGCGTAAAGCGTTGTTAAAGGGGTTGACTTACCGAGGGCGTTAGCAATCAACGCGCCACCAACGGCACCGACAGCGAGACCACCGGCAGCTCCAAGCAGCATACCGCTGCTGCTGCTCTTCTTCTCCTTGTCCTTGGTGCCGTACGGGTTCTGGCCCTGCTGCTGTTGGGCGTACGGGTCTTGGCCGTAGGGAGCCTGGCCGTAAGGAGCGGGAGCACCGCCGTACTGAGGCTGGCCATAGGGGGCGGGAGAACCGCCGTAGCTGGGGTTGCCGCCGTAGGGAGCGGGGGCACCGCCGTACTGTGGAGCGGGTGAGCCGTAGCCGGAACCCTGGTCGCCGAAGGCTCTAGTGTCGGAGGAAGGGTGGGGGGGAACGGGAGGCGGGGCATAGGAGGAGCCGCCCTGGCCACCGGTAGGAGGGGACGGGTGTTCCCACTGGGAACGGCCGGTGCTCTGGTCGACGTAGAACCAGCGGTTGTTGTTGGTGTCCCACTGGACCAACCAGCCGCTGGAGACGGAAGGAGCGGCCATGGGGGGCGCGGCAGCCTGGGGAGCCGGAGGCGGCGTCTGGGCGTAGCTGGGCTGGCCGCCGTAACCGGGCTGTGCCTGGGATGGGTAAGGGTAGTTGGAGGGAGGAGCGCCGCTACCGTAGCCGCCGTATTGTTGCTGCTGCGGTTGATCACCGAAGCCGCGTTCGCCTGTGTGAATAAGAAGCGCGAGTCAGTAACCTTAACGTAACGACGATGGCAGATCTGTTTAGATCTGAACGATATCGAGCGGTAAAGAAGACAGATGATGGCTCGGTTAAGGGAAGACGTTGAAATAGGCAGGGTTATTGCGACAAGGTATGAGGGGACGTGTACATGATTTATGACTGTCCATCAACAAATCTGGAGACTTTGTCCTCTTTTCCCCTCGCTTGCTTCGGTGTAACGGGCAGTGAGAGAGAGAGAGAGAGAGAGGAGAGAGAGAGAGGGAATTTCTTTTCACTTACCGGTCTGAGGCTGCTGGTGGTGCTGCTGCTGTTGCTGTTGCTGCTGCTGGTACTGTTGATGCTGGTCGTCCTTCTTCTCGGCGGGCTTGTCGTCGGAGAAGGAGGTCTTGAGTTCCTCAAACTCCTTGGTGAGCTTCTTGAAGAACGACATGGTTTATCTTTCGGTTCGGTTGTTCGGTTAGGCTGTAAGGTAGCAGAACAAGGTTGGCAGACTTGGTACGGAGTATCTCTCAGGTAACGCAAGTGGGATATCCCGTATGTGAGGTGAGTTGGTGTAAGGTAAGGTAGGAACAGCGCAGGAGCTGAGAGAGAGGGACGGAAGAGACGGCAGAGGGCCGAGAAAAGAGCTGGGAGAGGGGCAAAAACGTGTTGAACAGCGTGGCACGCTTCGTCAGCCCTTTTCCTTTTTATTCTGATGGGCGGTCAAGGAGGGAGCCCTGGAGTCTGGAGGGGAGATGAGCAATAAGGGTATCCGTAAGGTACGGAGCAAGGTAAGGTATGGGAAAGAGGAGATGGCGGCGGGCAGGCGGGCAACGGGAAGGTTCCAAGCGAGGAAAGCGGGATGGGGAAAAGCCAAGGAGATTTGACGAGATGCCTACGGAGTGCGCAGTGTGGTCCTTGGACAAGACTTTTGGGCACTTGTACTGCAGTCTGCGGAGGGCGACAGCGGTACGAGTGGATCACCGGATGCTTCGCAGGTCAATTCTGGGGTGCGAGACGTGGGCTTGGGCTTGGGCTCGAAAGATGTGCGTGGGCAGCGGGCGCGTGAATAAGTGTGCGAGGCGTCTATCTCACGGACACGGAGTGCTGCAAGCCTGTAATACCTCAGGTAAAGGCAGGTGAGGTAAAGTGAGGTGCTCCTGCCTGGTGCGGCGTGATTGTGTGAGGGCTCCGATGGGTTCCCTCCCGGCGGCGCAGATTATCCAGCGCGCCGAGCTTTGAAGACATGCTGCGGGCCCTTGACACCTCACACCTCATGCTTCACGCCCGGCCTCACACACATCAAATCATCAGACTGCAGACCAGACAGACATTGGGCCAGTCAGAAAAGGAACGGGCCGGCAAGTGAGGTTGATCGTCGGACGAAAAGCTGCCTGCCCCCGTCGCAGCTCAGGTAAGGTAGGGGGTACAGAGTTCGGAGTACGGGGTGCCTGCTTCAGGATCCCTCCCATTTTCACCTCAGACTTTGGACGAGAGTCACAGTCATGAGTGTGATTGATTCAGTGAATGGAAACAAACCGCCCTGGAGTTTATTTGGCCGAGGCCACCGGGTGGTCGTAACGGCTCGATGAGGTTTCAATTCACTCGGCTCCATCTGCCGTCTATCCGAATCCGGTAGGAGGCCTCAAGCTATTAACACTTCATCTTCTGGGGTATCTCACCTAGTAGTTGCAATTCCATGGACAACTAGACTGGCCATTTTCCGTATCGTGATACGTATCATTATGCGGGCCATCTTACTAGGTACGGTGGATGAGGTGCTCGTTGGCGGGGAAGTAGGAGGACCACGAAGATCGCATTGTGGCAAGTGATAGGCGAGAGTCTGAGAGAGAGAGAGTGAGAGAGGGAGAACAGCAGAATATCTGGACTCCTGGAGAAACACCTCATTGAGCGAGGCAAGTGATTGGCACACAGCTGCAGACTGCTGCAGAGCTCTGCAGACCTGGTAGGGCGGGCGCCAGGCTAAGGTAGGGTCCAGGGCAACCTATCCGGTTAACCAAAAGAACATCCGTAGGCAGGGGTTCAAGATGGGGCTCCGTCGGCCCCTACCTTATCCTGAGGTCCCAGAGCTCTCAGTGTGAGCGACCTTACTTGTCAAGGTAAAGACACCTCAGAGTAGGCATGACAAGTGCGAGTGTGGGTGGGCGGGTGAGGCGCGGGATCAGGCTGATCAGCAGCAGGAGGTGGAAGTGGCAGGCCAGAGAAACATACAACAGTAAACATGAAGCACGTCTCGAACTTGACCTGTTGCTTGACTTTGCTCCTGCAGCCTACCGCTGGGTGTACTCCTGAGCGGCGCCGCCTCGCCGCACCCGCGCTCCGCCCTGTCCGCCGGTTCCCACCCGCCCGGTTTAAACATGGCGTTCCCGGACCCCAATCTGGCTTAGTCCATCAGACTGGTAACTACTGTGCTAAGGTACCGCCGTAAGGCCCTCTCACCTGAAGCTCTCTTCCCTGCAAATCCAAGTTTCCATCCTTATTAATTAACGTGCCAAAGAAAAAAACGGCAGAGTCTAACCGCCTACGGCAAAAATACCAGCAAAAAAGCTAAAGAAAGGTGTGTCACCGTGTCATGTCTTTCCCTTTTACTTTAATGCCACCTCTTTGCATGTCATCTCCTGTCCTGTCTGGTAATACCGAGCATATTGTATGTCTTCACAAATGCGCATCTGCAGTGCAGAATGCAGAAATGCCTTGCTTGTACGTACAGATACGGGGTCATTTCATGCAAATGAAATATCGAGTGGGCTGAGCTGTTCGTTCTGCGGGCAAACAAGCCAGAGAAAGAAAGAAGAAAAGAGGGAAACGGGTCATATGGCTCTTTCTGCATGGTATCAAACCACAGCCACAGCGATGAATCAAACCATCGTCGACAATCAAAGACGAAAGGAAACCGCACGAGCATCGCCCTCCTTTATGCCTGCTGCGACCTGTTGTTCGTATGACTGACCTTCCAGGGGTCTGGTGTCCCCCAATCGCCCCAGAGGTCTGAGGAAGAAAGAATAACAGTGTATCAAGTGCATCAAGTGCATCCTCCAAAACCCCGTTCGTGCCGTCCCAACGGGCTCGGCAATGGATCTCCAGTCACCACCATCCACTGAAGGAGTGTGTGAGACTGCCCATTTGTTCGCCAAACCGCCGTGCCGAGCTTTGAGGAGCTGACGAACTGAGGAGCTGCAGATGTCCTAACGCTTTTGGACGGTGGACGCGTACGCTCGCCAAGAGGGATGGAAAACCTTGGCTTCTTGGCTTTGCGGTCTTTTGGTGCCGTCCTATCCACCCCAGAAGCCTTGTCCCGTTCAAAGGCGGCCCAAGGAAACACAAGACACAAAACACTATGATTCACTACACAATCGGTATGACCGTTGTCGCTTGTGCCCGTTGAACCAGAGTTTGGCACTACTTTCCCTATCCGGTCTTTCAAGTGCGGGATACCGAATTGTATAGCACTACAGCCACCAAACGGGTTTACTTTCGTGCCAAAATCGGCGATGCCTGACTCTGAGGACATATACGGGCACTATCGAATTAAACAACCTACCGGGCTAGCTGTGCCCATCAACCCCCTGCTCCCCTGCTCCGCCCTATCAACTTATGTAACGGCGACTCCCTATCCCATGTGTGAATGCCCAGAAAACTTACCATCAGATGCCACTGCCGAGAGCCCGGCATCCCGGCCGAGACCCTCTTTTTTTTGTTGTTGCTCATCGTCGCTCCAACTTCCTCTGGCCAGTTGACCATGCCTAGCACCGAGCAGTAAGGTGATCCCCGGCTCCCCTCCTCTTTGTGCTTTACCTTACTGGTATTGGACCATCAGCCACATGGCCGCCGTTGGGTTGGCGCAACTGGGAACTGGAACCCCTTTGCGCGCGAACAGCGATCCGCGGGCCCGAAGACAGGACCCTTTTTTAAGGAGACACAAGGGGGGAGGGGGCCATCCAATGATCCATGATCCAACCAAGATACGGTTGGACCAAAGAGGAACAGCATGAGCAGAAGGGGGAAACGCACGCCGGGCCACGGGACGGACGAGAAAGGGACCCTTGGGAGCCTAGAGTGAACCCTTTCCGCGTTATTCACTGGGCTTCCCGGGATGTCCAAGGATGGACGGCAACTGTCTGAGGCGTAGCGTCTCTTGGTGCGAATGGGTTCGATGGATGGGATGGGTATTCCGTACGGCCATAACCGTATCTTACACGTAACGCGCGTGTAATGTGTGGTGAAGCTGTCAGCGAATCGCCGGCAGACATGAACCCCAGAGGACCACTCACTCGCTCTCAAGCTCACTCTGAGCCTCCCCGAGGTTGTGTCCTGCGCCTCGAACGAGGTGTGATCCCAGCACACACCTGGAATCAACATTGGGATTGGATCTGTGACCGACGGGAGGGGAGGAAAGAACATAACCCACTCCCCATCTCATCTCATCTCACCTATCCCATCCCCCATCCTACCACCTATTTCCTTCCTTCACATCCCACGCACCACTTCCGTTGCGCCCCTTGCAACTTTACAACTTGCAACCTTCACTCTCTTTCCTGAATTTTTTTTTCCCGCTTTCCATTCGCAAATCGTCAATTCTTCCTTTCCGTCGATAATCACAACCCCTTCCTAATCAACATGTCTCAATACCCTCCTCCCGGCCAGCAGTAAGTCTCCCAAGCTCTTTTCACCTGTTGCGCACCGGCGCTCGTATACGCGCGCGCGCGCGCGCGCACCTTCTCACGCTTCCCACCCAAACCAACCTCACCTTCCAAATCTCGAGAGAAAACATCAAGAAGATACCTCAAAAAAAAACTGACAATCCCTTCCAGGCCCTACTACGGCTCTCCCCCGCCTCCCCAGGGCGGCTACCCTCCCCAAGGCTACCCTCCTCCCGGCCAGCAGCCCGTGAGTTCTCTCGCCCCCTTACGCCTAAACGTCCACCGAACGAATGGGAATCCATGGGCACAGTCACCCTCTGTTGCGAAAAAGCCCGACACTAACCTCCCCTGCTCTTGTAGATGTACTACCCTCCCCAGGGCCAGGCTCCCCCTCCCCAGGAGGAGAAGAAGGACGACAAGGGCTGCCTCTACGGCTGGTGAGTTTGACATGGACAGCCTCGAAGCCCCTCGCGGCGCGCGAGATGGAACAAGAACCGAACTGACCACGCACAAATAGCATCGCCACTCTCTGCTGCTGCTGGCTCTGCGGAGAGACCTGCGAGTGCTGCCTCGAGTGCCTGACCTGCTGCTTCTAATCCACACACACGCACGCATAACGTGTAACACGCCAAGCAGAAGGAAGGGAACAGTTGAAAAAGCAAGCAACATCCGAACACAGACGATGATACCGAGTGCGACCAAAGCAACAAACTTACAACAACACACAAAGATACCAACTAGATGGCCCCCCCCCCCCCCCTGATTCCATCAACCCCCCCGAACGCGATCACGGCCTTTGCTTTGGAGAACGGGAAAACGGATTAGGGAATGGAGGGAAACGGGAGGTTGTTTGACTCGGCTTGGAAGACGGGGACTGCTTTATTCTTCTATCCTTCCACACGCACACACCCCTTCTTTGCGATGCCGGTTCTTCTCACGTACGACCGCACGCTAGTTTGTTCACTTGAGCATTGAGAGAGACGTTCTTTGCTCTTACGATTACCCACATGGCGATTGCGTTTCGCTCATTTTTCCTTGTCGTTTTCCGGGATAGGATGGGTTTTCCGGGCTGTTTACTTGGTGAGGAGGACTCGATCTAGCAATAGTCAACCTCGGTCATTAGCAGAGTAGATACACCCAACAAGAAAAAAAACACCACCCACCCGTTAAATATTCTCCTGCATTAGACAGGCAAGACCTTGGTGAAAAATGTGTAAAATCATCCGTGTCAAAGCTGTCAATCAATGTCTTGCATGTATTGTGTCATGTGTGTGATTGTGATGTGTATTGCCAAGTCGTTTTCCTCCACTTTTAAAGCACCCATCCATATCCTCTCTCTCACTGTGCCTTATGAGGAAAGGGTATCAAGGCGGCAGTGTGTGTGCTTTTCCTCCCCCTTCCTCCCCACCAACCCCATTGGACCCAAAATCAAAGAAAGATCGCCCCGCCAACAAACCGTTTGTCGCTGCTGTCGCTGCTTCTCGCGTTTGCAGAATACTGTTTCTACTTCTTGCCGTCTTTCGGGGCCATGAGCTGGACGAATTCTTGATCTGTTGTGTTTTTTTTTGCAATGTCAGCCGCAATCCTCCCGAAAGTGATGGTGCTAATTAAAGAAACACTGAGTGGGGGCGGGGGTGGCAAGCGAAATGCGAATGGGGTGGTGATGCAGGGCCATTCCGGTGGGCGAGGAGGGATGAGACGCTCGCAGTATTGATGGGATCGCGACCGGCATGGGTACAAATTCGCAGTATTGGGGATTGCCTACAATCAATAGAACCGTTGCCGTCGAGATCGGCACCTCTGATCATCTCCTCAATCTCCTCGTCGGTGGCGCGCTGGCCGAGGGACAGCAGCACCTGGCGCAATTCCGAGGGCGAGACGGAGCCGCTGTTGTCCTTGTCAAAGACCTTGAAGGCGGCGACAAGCTCGGTGTTGGTGTCGGAATCTTTGCTGGAGGGTGCGGGTGCCTCGCTCATGAGTTGGAGGAATTCTGCGGTCGTTGTTAGTCGCAGGGATTCCAAGTTGCGACAGCAAAATCACCATGGCGACAGTGTTACTAATCGCGCCACGGGTCAGAACGGAGGCGCACCTTCGAAATCAATTCCGCCGTCGTTATTGGGGTCGACCTCGGCGATGAGCTCGTTGACCTCCTGGATGCTGGGGTTCAGCCCAAGAGACTTCATGGCGATCTGGAACTCCTCCGCGTTGATGGCGCCTAGATACGCAACTCTAGTTAGCTGGATGAGCTGATAATCCAGCGGGAATGGCAAGCCTAGCAGGCTGATTCGGTATGAAAGGCTGATTGCGTGCGTTGAGTCGGGAGTGACTGACCGGTGCCATCGCGATCCTGTCAGGGAAGAAACACCACTGTCAGCAAGGAGTTCATCCCAAGGAGGGGGACAATGCACAATAATGCCATTGTCGGGATACGTATGTGCGAGGCAGGGTTCTTGCAACTTACAAAGATGGAAAAGACCTGCTTGTAGTCTTTGAACTGCTCCTCAGTGAGTCCGTAGGGCGGAGGGGCCTACACGAAGATCGAAGTCGAAATGTCAGCCTTTGGATGCCAGGGAAACGAAGGCCATATCGGAGCTGCGACGTGAGGGGCAACATCATGGGTCGCGCGACCGAAAACGCACCATTTTTGAGTTTTGCGGGGTCGGGAAACGAGTGTGTGTCGTGGACGGAATAGGTTTATCGAGGAAGCTACAGCGAGCTTCTGGGCGAAAGGAACGATGACGATAATTCAATGCGTAGGCCGGTGCGTGTAGGTTATCGCGTGCGACGAGCGAGGAGAATCGTGTGTTGACGTTTGGGTAAAGATGCAAGGCAAGAAGAGGATAGGCAAGATAATAGGTGGGAGGGGAGAAAAACAAGACTCAAGGAATGGTAGCCCGTAGCCCCTCGTTCTCTCGCCTGGCCTCAGCCTGATTGAATGGTTCTACATTTTTAGTGCTGGGCTACCTTGCTCCCACCTGTTTCTGCTGTGAAGAGCAAGGTACCTGCACATGGATGCCGATGGGCTGGATGCCGATACCGAGAAAGCAGCCTGCCATCCCTCTACTAGCAGTGGCAGCCCTGGCTTGAGACTGAGCTCATGCTGGTTTGCTCCGTCCCTAGCTTCGTATTACTTTATTTTAGTCAATTGTATCAACATCAAGCCCGGTCCAGTCCAGTCCCAGTTCCAGGCTGCGACGCCAAAGACCCAAGGTGTGGTAAGGTTGACAGATGTCTAGCAGTCGCCAGCTGAACCTGTTGGTGACATTCTCCTATCAAACCCAAGTTTTGGCCCCCTCCCCTCTCACATCAAGAGATACTGAGTACGCAGTACAAAAACCTGCCTTACCTAAGAAGCCCAGTACCCTGCTGTGCACCCTGATCACCACCAGCATGTGAGGTATGACGCCAGGCTGCCCTACGGCACCATCTAGCGCCTGCGTGGCCTGGGAAGGTCTTGGCGTCCGAGTCTATTTCCGCCCGCGAACCTGCAAGCGTACGCGGCCACATCCACATCGCCGTTGCTCAAAGAGGATTAGGTCCTGTCCGGTGCTTTGAATTGGCTTCCGGGCTTGGGGGTGGGTGGCGACATCAGACAGCTGTACTGCGCGTATGTACGAATGATAGCGTGCAGACCTGCGCAGAGTTGCAGAGAAAAGGGCAGCAATGGGACTTCCTCCACCTTCCGCCCTCTCTTCCCGTCAGGCCAGGTCTGGGCACGCCGTCCCTTCTCCTCTGCCGTCCGCGGGAAGGGGAGGGAACTGACAGCCGCTTGGTCTTGGCAGACGATGGGAGTTTGGTGAACGATGAACCATAACAGACAGTTATGCACCTAACCAGCTAGCCAACCCCCTGCTCCTTTCGAATAAGGTAGTCTTGGTAGTATAAGTTATGATTGGGTATGGACGTTGTTGAAACTGTCGCTGATCACGAGTATTTGGTGATGCATCAAGCTTCAACCGGCATTTGGGCTCATCGGCAATGATTTCCTGAGACCTGCATTTCAGCGTGGCTTGGGCTTCTTCCTCCCATTGAGTCCAAGACTACCGCGAGCCACCTATTGAACCACGGACCATCTGAATCAGCCTTGGAGGCATCCCGACTGTGGCTTGTTGATGGATTTGACCAACAGAGTGCGCCTCGCATGCGAAGCCCTTCCATGCTTCGGAGCCAAGCCAGGAGACAAGCTGCAGCAATCTAGGAAGACGGTATTTGACTTTGTAGGCAGCAGTAAGATGTGAAATACTGGGGCTTTATCTCGAACACGCGGGAGAATGTGAGAGAGCGTACCTCAACCTCGCGCGTATCAGTACGGACAGAGGCGATCAGATGATGTGGAACAAGTTTCTGGAGCTCCTTCTTTCTCTTCTACTGCGTGGAGGCATGGAGGCATGTGTGAATCCCAGCTGAAAACTCCAAACACTTGCCCAGAAAGAGACAAAACGTCGCGCCTTTTTGTGCAAGTGCAACCGAGGCCTCCTCCTCCCTTCACCTTCCTAAGTACCTTATTATCAAAGAAAGTTAATTCTTTCTAAGTCATAAGTATAAGAATATAGTTTTAATAAAATAGTATAGTACTGACTTAGTACTTAAATTAAGATATTTTTTTAAACTTATTATAAAAAAAAATAACTATATTATTAACTACTTATTATCGAGGTTTATAAATAATATTATAACTTTAATTATTATAACTTTAATTATTATAGTTTTAATTATAATAACTTTATTTATAATAAATAAAAAGTCTAATTATAAGTCCTTTAAAAGCCTCTTTTTAAGAATTATAAAAGCTTCTAAATTAAGTTAAAATACTTATTAAAATATTAATAACTAAACTAATTTTATAATAATAACTTTAATAAAAAACTTAGTAAATAATATTAAAAGCCTTGCTAACGTTAGGTATAATTTACGAAACGTAATAACGCAGCCGCAGAGTATTACTAATATATCCTACGCTAAGAAGGGCATTATTAGTACTAACGAGATGGATAGGGCCGTGTCGATATGGCGCCTCGGCTTCCTCCTACAGCTCGAGGATAATCGCCTTAGACGGCATTGGAAGTCTCCCTTCACCTTCCATTCTGTTCAGTTCCCCTTACCGCCCCTTCCCCCTCCAACCCCACCACTCTGACCTCAAGACGTCTCATCCCGGGCTGCCTCGCCCGTTGCCCCTCCATTGGGGCCCATCCCTTCCCACCTCGACACACGACGCAGTAAGGTATCACGGATACCTAAGCTGCCACACTCCACGCTTTCCCAGCTCTGAGGTGAGCAGGAGCTTCCCGCAGTGCCGCGCTACCGCTCAAAGACCTTGGCAAGGTACCTGAAGGACCCCTCCACCCCTCCTCCTACCTTGGTTTGCTGTCCCCAATCCGACCACCCGATTCTCTGCGCATCGCTCTCGCATCTCACCCAACCGAACCCCACAATCTTTCTTAACACCCTTCGCATTCCGTTCATATCAACTCTTAATCTTCCGAGTCCGAACTTCTGCAGCTCTTCAGACCCTCGTCTGTAGATTTCATACCTTCCTCGGCTTGCCGGGAAGTCTCCATTTCCAATAACAAAGGCTCGTTTTGGCACAGCTTATTCG